AATAAATATATATTACTTGTATACATTTATAGAAGGATAAAAGGTGTCATAAAAAGAAATCAACAGATCTGACTATATAGACTAATAACATTTCTTACTTAAGACATCAAAAATTAATAGGTCAAACCCTAGGAAACTGCGACACCACAGCCTCTCCTCCTCCAGTACTCTTTCTAGTTACTACCTCCTCCCAAGAATGACTGTTATCCTGACTTTAAAAAAAAATCCTCGCCCGATAATATATATATTGATTCTAGAGAGAGAGAAAGGGAGAAAGACAAAGATTTGCAGAACAGCAACAGAAACGGGAACCTTTTGGTGTACGGGACGCCACTCCAGATAGCTGGCTACCCAGCCAGGGCCTGCCACCCTGTCTTTTAACACCATAGATTAGTTTTGCCTATTTGTGAACTTCTACCATCATTTTTGTGTTGGACTTCTTTTACTTGATATCATCTTTATAAGATTCATCTATATTTTGCTTTTGTAATTGTAGCTCATTTATTTTCATTGCTGTGCTAGCAATGAATACAATTCATGCTTTTGCCCCTGGGAGACATTTGGCAACATCTGGAGACAGGTTGTCACACCCAGAGGCAGGGTGTTGTTAGTATCCAGCGGACAAGGCCAGGGGGACTGGTCAGCATCCCACAGTATGCAACGAAGAATTGTCCGCCCCAAATATCCACGGTACCTGCTTGCAGCATTCCACCGGGTCACGTGATGCCCAGCCATTCCTCTGCTGATGGGAGCACAGAACGTTTTACAATAGCAAGAACTGAGGACAGCCTAAAACGTTCCCAAATTATGCTTTGTCTAAATGAGAACATGTTAGACTGTTATGAGAGTCTAACCTATACAAAGGGTTTGTGATAATATACTTTAACAATTTTAATTAAATCAAAGCTGGATACAAAGTTGCATACACAAAACATAAAATGGGGAGGCGCTTCTGTCGCGGTGTCTTGTGAACAACACAGGCCCCGAAAGCACTCGGATGGGGCCTGTGCAGAAGTGGTGCCTGAGGAAGGGCCTGGAAGGAACGTGGTGCAAATGCACGTTGCAGAGCTTGGTGGGGGTAGGGGTGGGGGTGGGAGGGAGACAAAGTCTATATTTTATAATTCTGTGTCTACACTTTTCTAATTTTCCAAGTTTCCCATTAGAAGAATGTTGAGTGACAGAAAAAAAAAATAAAGAATTGAAACTCCTCATAACCACCCAGGAGCTCACTGTTGTCTGTGGGTGAGTTGGTCCTCAGAGCATCGGGGCTCCCCAACACTTGTGCCCTCGGGGCCACTGTGCCTTCCAGCAGGGCCTGGGTGGCCTCCCACTCTCCTAGGTCCGTAGGTCCGTGCTTTTGTGCGAGCCCTGTCGCAGCCTGCGGTGCCTGCCCTCCTTGTGTGATGTCCAGCAAACTTGACCTGGCTTTCACCTCCTGCTGAGCACCCTCCTCTTTCTCTAACAGGCACAGCTTTTTCACATTGTACTTAGTGCTGTTTTTGAATGTCACTTCCCTCGGTGGTCTGTGAGCCACTTGAGAAGAGGATTTAGGTCCAAATATCCCAGGACCTGGCCCAGTGCCTGTGGGAATAAATGTAGGGGCTGCCTGCAAAAGTCTGAAGAACTTGGGGAGACTCAGGCCTCAGTCAAGAGGGTTCTGAAAGAAACTAGAACATGACCCTAATTTACTTGTTGGGAACCAAAGCAATTGTATTGAATACTCCTTTTGAAGAATGATGATGACTGGTATTTCTGGCTTCTAAAACCTTGCCAGGCACATAGTGTTGAATGTTTTGATACCAGCTGGTGGCCTGCAATTCAATTCTGGCTGAACATCCCTGGAGCTAGTGCAGGCCCCACTAGTTAAAGGGCTGGTCCATGCAAGCCTGCCCTCATTTCAGACCAACTGGCTGCAAATCTGGGGGTTCCCACAGTCCGCCTCAGGTGTGGTGGTTCTACACGATGACTCACAGAACTCAGGAAGGTGCTATACTTAACGTCACAGCTTTATTCTGAAGGGTACAGCTCAGGATCAGCTAGGTGAAGAGACACAGGGCAGATGTGGGGGTGGGGGGGCCCAGCAACACAGCTTCCTTGTTCTCTCTCCATGAGTCAGGGTGCATCCCCCGCCCAACACATCAATACATTCACCAACCTGGAGCCCACTGAGTCTTCACTGGGATTTCAGTAAGCAGGAACAATGGGTCCAAGCATTCACCGGCCGTCCAAGCGAACCCAATGTTCAGCCTCTCTGCCTTCCCGGAGAAGGTCCAGTTGGCTCAAAGTCTTGACCATGTAATTGCATGGTTGGTCCTTCTGGTCCCAGCTCCCCTCCTGCAGCTATCAAAGGGGGCTCCGCAGTCACCTCGTTAGCATAAACTCAGGTGTGGTCCACAAAACTCAGGAATAACAAAGGCATTTCTATCAGCTGGGAAATTCCAAGGGTTTTAGAAGCTGCATGCCAGGAACCTGGTGCAAATTCTTCCTCATACAACACATAGTAGGTGCCGAACAAGTATTTGCTAAGCAGAAAGATACACTGAAAATACCAGACATTGGCAGGAAAGAGGAAGGCAGTTCGGCTCTTGGATTCCACCACCTGACACGTGTACCCATATACCTGTTATGGAGACGGACTCATTAGGCTGTGAGAAGCCAATGCCGGTCAACATTCCGATCAGATGATGAACTCCTTGTGCTCTGGTTTACATTACCAAGCACCATGATGATAATTCTGCTTCCCACGTGACTTGTTTGTAGGAAGAGGATGCTAGCCAGGCTGACGTGAGCGTGCACATCTGCCCGAGTTGATTTCTTGTTGTGAATGAATAAAGTGGCACTCCAACTTACACAGGGCGCCTTCTGCCTCGTGGGGTTTGGAACCTGCCAGCCAGATGCTGCCCAACCCTGGACCCTGGCAAGTTCTGCCAGGCCGATGCCACCCAGGGAGCCTCTAGGAGTCCGTGGGAGCCACCCAGTTGGTCCCAGCCTCTGTATTTCAGAGAGTGGGCTTCGGGGCATTCACAACATTCCTGCAGCAGAAGAGTTTCGGGAGCACCCCAATTTGGATCTGGGTGACTTGAATATCATCTCCAGCAGGTTTTTCTGAGATGCATTTGTAACTGAGAAAGCTTAAGCCTAATCGATTTTATTCCACTTGACTTAAAGAAAGAGCATGTGAAAGAAAGGGAGCTGAGGACATCGACAAAGTGGGCCCCAAAAGCACAAATTTCACAATATTGACCTGGTCCTGGCTAGAGGCTGGAGACACTGACTGGTGTATTCAGGCCTTGCAGTGACTGGAGAGATTTAGTCCTCTTCTGAAATCTGAATAAGAAGGATTAGCTTACCTTCAGCTGTAATTCAATCTAGTGCTCAAAATACAACCTTCTGATTAATAATTAGACCTCTGAATCACCTTCATCATAACCTCTCCATTGCATATTAATAGATAACACTCTGGTTTATACATCTGTTTTTTATGAGTTTGGTTAACATGAGTCAATCCCATGAATCCAATCCATTGACATACTCTGGGTTTCAAGCTGAGGAAAGTGGAGAACCAGACTACTGAACAAAGAGACCCCGTCCAACGTACTGTCAGCCTGTGACTAGACAGACAGCTCCTCACTGGGGGACGTATTCCCTCACTGTATCCCTCAGATCACTATGTTTCTAACTCAAGAATCTTTCTACAATGTCCCTGGATGATCTCTTTGGAGGACCCCGATGGCTAGGAGCTCACTGTCACCAGCCTTCAAAGCCGTGTGATGTCTTGGAGATCTTGGTTGTTTTGCTATTCTTTCTTGAATTCATAACTTTGACCTACCAGTTCTTTCACAAAACACAGCAAATGTTTCTGTGTGTCTAGGCTGCCTAGCTTCAGTTCCTTCAAAGTAACTTGAAAATGGTGGAGTCTAGTGTCTTCACCACCCCATTGTTCTCCTTCTAACTTTCCAGGATCTTTCTGGGAAACACGATCCCCTCAGAATCTGGTCTACCCACTATTATTTTTGAGACGTAAAATATTAGTGCAGCAAAAGTTTGTTATTTCATTTAGCTGCTGCACCTCACTGTTGGCTGGAACACAAGATAAAACACCCTCGTCTCTTCTCCATGCACCTCCCCTTCCTTTTGAACTTGAAGCTGTCGAAACGAGATGCATGTCAGGAAGGCTGTGGGTTTACTATGTCGAGCTTATTTCTGCCCTTGATGAATACTGTTTCTGTTTACTCTGAGGAAGAGGGTCCTTAGCTTGGGACCAATATACAGGGCTGTTTCCAGAATTCAGACCTAAGCAGTGAATGACTTTTTCTTAAAAAGAATAAACACCTTTCTCCAGGAGATGAGCCATCACTAGAGACCTGGGAAGGTGTCTGATAAATCCTACCAACTAGATAGCAGTTTCAGTGGGGGGAGCAGGGAAGGAAAGGAAGAAGAAAAGCTATTTTGCTGATGGATTTTTTTCTTCTGGTTCTAGAATATAAAAAATTGGATATATAGTAAAATTGCTTAACCAAACCTAGGATGTGGCGAGTTGTTTCTCTTGGAATCCCTGACACATTCTGGGATGAACTGTCTGTCATCTGAGATCCCCTCCTTGCCACAAGCCCAAGCTGTGTGGAGCACTAATTAGCCTATTTATTGTATACTTAATCCAGGAAAAACTTCCTGCCATTCCTTCTCCCCACAGTGTCCCTCAGCCGCTTGACATCCTTATTCTCTCCACTTGACATCCCATCCTCTCCTCCTCCCAGCCTGGCCCGCAAAACCACAGGGATTTAAAGTTTAGTGTTTGATGTTATCATTGCCCAGAGACCGCGCGACACGCATTCGCAGGGACAACTCGGGGAGGCCACGTGCTGTCCCCCTTAGGGAGTGGGAGAAATCCCTGCGGCTCCACGTTGTTCCAATGGCTTGTCCAGTGAGTGATTCCCGTTTCCCCAAAGGCTGCCCCTCATTAGCATGAAGGGGGTGGGGGTGTGGAGAAGGGGTGGGGGGAGAGAAACAGCAAAAAGCCCTGGCTCAGTTTTAGAGCCTGTTAACCTTGTCTACCAAAATGACAGCTAGAGCTTTCTGGCTCCTCTGTTTGATCATTGGATCATCTCCGGAATCCCCAGTGGCAGAGAGGAAAGGTAAGATCGATGACACGCTGAGCCCTGAGAGAGGGGCTGGGATGGGGTGGGGGGCGCGATGAAGGGCGGGGCGAGAAAGGGGTCAAAGTGTGCAAGAGAGGAGACCCCGGGTCCGCGTTCATGTTCGCAGGGAGCAAAATGTGTCCCCCAAATTTTGTGTGTCTTGGCAGCCTTTTCGGAGAGAAGCCAGTTCAGATACTGAAATGATCTCGAGTGAGCCGGGCAGGCTGCAGAAAACTTTGCATGTTAAGTAGCTGCTCCATCACAGAGCAGGGAAAGTGTCAGAAGGGCGCCTTTTGGGAACCTGGCTGGCGGGGCTGGCTGGACGGGGCGGTGGTGGGCGCCCCCGAGGAGCGCGGAGTCCGCCCGTCACCGGGGTCCGACCTTCCTCCCCTCTCCTCGCAGCCCCAGCGAATGGCTCTGTGACACCTGAGTCTTTCAAACACAATTTCATGCATGAAATGAAAATAAGTTACTGAGGGAATGCAGATATAAGGGATTTTCTGTGGGGAGGTGTTTTTGTTTTGCTTTTTGGGGGATGTTTTTGTTCGACTCACTATCTCTGGGAAAACAGCTTCCACACCTCACAGGGCAATTTACTTTGGGTTATTTTTCCACATGGAAATTGAATGCCTTCAGTGGCATTTAACCCAAATATCGGACAATCTTTCCCATGACAACAGATGGCGATATCAATGGGGAAGCGGCAGTGAGGTCAACAGTTGACTGTCAGGAATTGGATGTCCACCAGCACTTTATTCAGCTGTGTATGGGACAACGTTGGCCACGATGAGTCAGAATCAACCTCTTTGCAAAAACATGAACTATAACCAGCTATTATTGCTGGGTGAAAGCTGATTTTAAAGGAGATTGTCAATTTGGCAAGATAAATCACTTTAAATGAAGTGTTTTAAAAGGCTGCAAATGGGCAAACCAAGCTCTTCAATGCAAGAGGAGAGAAATGCCGAAAACCAGCCGCTAAAACAACAGAAAGAAAAATACAGACATGTTCTTGTGCCGGTTGGAGGGCACTGGGACCAGGCAAAAGGGGAGCTGGCGTTGTGTAACTGGTCATGGAAAGTGCCCAGCTTTGGAGCTGGCGGGTGTGCTCACCAACCTGTCTGTGCCCCTCGGAGAAATGATTAATAATTTAAAAAACTTGTTTGCATGCCATACCATTTAGGAATTTTTCCTCCATCATCAAAAGGAGGAACATTGTAAGCGATGTGTGTGCTTTTATACTTAACCAGAGGCCTCTGCCTCCCAGCCAGGCTTTAAAAATCTTTCTTAGCTCTGGTTCACCAGTAAGTGGTGTCCAAGAAGCCAGATAAAAATCCACTCACAAATGCCGGGTTCTGCAGAGACCAAGATGACAGTGTAAACACGGATGGGAAAACCAAATAGTTCTGTTGTCAGGGGCGCTTAAACAATTAGGAGAACCTGTAATATGAGACCTCTCCCCCCGGGGTTTGCTCTAGGTACTTTCTCAACAGACTGTACACAGCAAAAAGGCGGATGTTTATATATATATATATTTTTTCCCATGTGTGCCTGTGTGTGTCTATATATATATATATGAATGCAAGGGCAGAAGGAGTTTGTTCTCCAACCAGAGCAGTCAGCTATGTTTAGTCCTAGAACAGAGGGTTGTAATTTTAAAAGCTATAGATTTAAAAAGGTTCCTTAACAAAATGAAATGTTCCCACGTGGGGAGAAAGTTTTGCTTAGTTGGCCTCATTTTTAGAGGGCAAGACCCTCACCGCCTTCTTCCTTTGAGGCCTAAGAAACGGACCAGAAGCTGAAGCTCCCCTCGGCAGACCACAGGGGCGCCTTCCTCTCCCCCCTGCGCTCTCTTTCCCTCACTTCCAGGTCTCCTGGCTTCCCCACCTCTCCTCTCGCAGGTGATTGCTAAATTTGCATTGTCCCGCGACGCCCCCACCCTCCCAGGGCCCAGTCTTCTCTCTCCCCGTCAGCCTCGTCTCAACTGCTCTGCCCGCGTCCCTCCCTCTCAGCCTCCCCACCTCTCCTCTTCCTTCCCTACAGCCTCGCCGCCCCACGGCAGAAACCCCGACCCCAGCGGCGGTCCGAGCGCGGAGGAGACACCGGGGCCACGGCCGCAGCCGGTACCCGAGGCCGCTCTTCCCGCCTGGTCGGACCCGAGGCGCCGGAAGCCTCCGCCACCCGCCGAGAACCGCGCTGGCTTCCGGGAGGCCCCGCGCGCGCCCGCCGGCCCGCCGAGCCCGCGCCTCCCGCAGGCCGAGAACCGCGCGTCTCCGCGCCGCGTGCCCGCGCTGGAGGACTCCCCGCGGCGCGCGCGCACCCGGGCCCTGCACCTCCCAGCCGCGCGCCCCCTTGGGCGCGCCGACGCCGACGCCCCCTCTAACCCCGCTCACCCCAACCGGCCGCGCGCCGCCGCGCCGCCTTCGGGACCGGCGCCGTCGCCTTCGCGAGTTGGCCCGTCTCGGCGGAACACGGAGCCGGGCGCCGAGTCCTGTGTGCACGCCTGCGGGGCGGACCTGGACGAGCGCGAGTCCTACTGCACGAGCGAATTCGGTGAGCCCTGCCATACAGCTCCTCCCGGGCCCGGGGTGCAGAGCCCAGGCCACCCGGCGAGCCCTTCCGAGCCCAGAGCGCGCTGGCTGTGCACGCGGACACCCTAAGCCAAACCCTAGAGAAACCTACTCGGTCCTGCAGGCCCCCGACTCGTGTGAACTATGTCGTGATTTGTTAAAAACGCACTGGGGGAAAAAAAGGAAGTGAGAGTAATGCATATGTCCAAACTCTTTGTGTTTTGAAAGCAGCAGTGAACGGAATCGTGCATGATGTGGACGTGCTCGGCCCAGGGATCCAGCTGGTGACTCTGCTGGTGGACCGGGACGGGTTGTACAAGATGAACCGCCTGTACACCACTCCGGACGGGTTTTTCTTCCGAGTCCACATCTTAGCCGTAGACTCCTCCAGTTGCAATAAGACATGTCCAGAATTTAAACCTGGTATTGAAAGTGATCTGACCACTTGTCATATGTATTGTCACCGTTTGTAACTTGGGTGCCACAGCTTGGTCCCAATTGGACACCCCAGCACCTTTAGGGGGAAGGGTATTCCAAAAGCAATAGAATTTAGACGACAGGTATTATTTTGGCCACTGTGATTTAAGCTCCATCAATCCCCCACCCTCCTCTCTTCCTGTTAGGTGGGGAACAGCACAGATTGGCACAAAGCAGGCACTCAGTAAATATTCACTGACAAATTGAGTGCATGATGGAACGCAAAAATTTCAGAAGAGGTGCATAAGGGGCTTTCTATCAACTTAGTTTAGAAAAGTCTTTTTCTCGGGGGTGGGGCACGGCTTCCCTCTTTCGTTATGCTGTTTACAGGCTGATTACCCAAAAGGTTACTAGGCAGTTTCCATGTGTTGTCTGACAGTTAAATGTCCGAGATTCAAAATAATAGATTCAAACTTAGGCATTTCTTAAAGATCTTACATTTTCTTATTGTTTCATGACATTTAAAAGATACTGTGGATTTATACTTTGGGTTTTTTTTTTTTTTTTCAGGCAGCAGGTATATTGTGATGGGCCACATCTACCATAAGAGACGGCAGCTCCCTGCAGCTCTGCTCCAGATCCTCAGAGGGCGCTTCCGGCCAGGAGATGGGTTGCTTCTAAGCAGCAGCAGCTATGTGAAAAGGTTTAACCGAAAAAGGGATGTGCAAGTTCAAAGTGCAGTTCACACCCAGTGTATTTGAATTTACCAGCCTGACATTCCTGGTTCATGAGACTTGGAATTGATCAACAAGCCAGGAAAGGTCTAGCTTCATGTAATGGGATCTTCCTTTAGAATAGAGCACACTGCTCCTTATGTGAACTAGTTGCCTAGTTCCAACTTCCGCAGCGAAGCTGTCACCTTATTTACAAAATGCTTTTTCAATGATATGCTTCCGGGTTCAGTGGCAAAGCTGTTCAACCAGTACCAGTTATGCATACATAGCTACTGACCTGTCCCATTAACAGATCACTGCTTCATGCTGGTTATTTTTAATTATTTTAATTTAAATACATTCTCAGTAGAAAGAGTTCACAAAAAAACATTTCCTTGATTTTATATACAACTTTGAATAGTTTGTATCATGTATCAAACCAAATTTTATACCTAAACCATCACATTTCAAGTTCTGTATATAACAGTAAGTGCACTAGTCAGACATGTATGATGTCAGACAGACCAAACAGATGGGTTGGAGCCGAACACAAGTTATAAAGTTTTACACTTAAAGAATACTAACAGGCTTCATTCAAGCAAAATATTATTCAAACAAGTGTTTCTGATGTACCAAAGTGTCAGTTTATTTTCATGCCTCCCTGCTCCTAAAAACATGTTTTGGGTGAACTGGCAGCTGTCCCAATGCTACACAGATTCTGGGTGTATCTGATGTCATTTTTTTTGTTTTTAATTAAGACTAAGTATCACGTTAGTGTTTGTAAAGCAGTAAATCTTGCTCTGAAATCAGATCTTGGATGCACCTGGGTTTTTTTTTCAGCCTCACCAAGCCCTGAAGGTTTGGGAGAAAGTGTCTCTCAAACCTGTTTCACAAACCCTGGAACCAATACTCAACGACAGCTTGCAAGCATGGGAATTTTAAACTCTCCAGTTGGGTTAAAAAAGGTTTACTCACTTGCTGAACTTGGGACTGATTTTGTACTTGAGTTCACAAAGATATTAACACTCTTTTTCACAGAAGACCAAGCTGTACTGCAGTTCATTTGAAACACTGAATAGACATCGATAACCCATGGTTGAAGATGACGGCCTAAAGATAAAAAGGAACCGCACTAGAGAAGACAGCCTATTTGGTCTTAAAGTAAATGGACTCAGTGAGCTCAGGAAGTATCTTTAGTCTAGTGGCGCAGTCTTTACTGGATACGCAGCACTGTAGGACACCAGGGCAGGACACTAGAGACACCTCTTGAGGAAACAGCCTAAGACAGAATATCTGAGTGTAATGGGAGATACGGTTACCGTATTTGCCTCAAGAGTCGAGGTCCTATTATTTTGGGGTGAAAGCATTACTAAAGACACTTGGAAGAGAATTTTCCAAAACTGAGTGTTGCTCAAACCTATTTAAAAAATCATACTAGAATTGCTCCTTGGGAATCAACTACATGATTACACCAACTACTGGCAGTAGAGTATGCAGTGAAGTAAGAGCTTCTGGATTGTAGTTTTAGGATAAAAATTAAACTCAGACATAAGTAGTAGCAGTCACAAAAGTCAAAGCCGAATTTTTAAATGTCACCAGGCCACATGGTGATCTTGAGAAACACAGTGGGGAAAAGGACAGAATGGCCAAAGAGATCAATCACTGGTCAGATGGTCAGGTGTTAGAACATAGTTACAAACAGGTCTGGTTGAGAAGAGGAGAAAACATCACTTGTACATAGCCCACAAGTCAGGGTTTGATTAGACTGACCTGGAACACCCGTTTCTGAGTAGTTTGGGAAACACACAAAATCTGTTGGAATGGTGTGATCTCCGTGATGCCGAAAGGCCAGTTAGCATGTACAGCTGGGCAAACACTAGCAGAACAGCTTTTTAGAAACTTCCTCTTAAAATTAAGGCCATCATGTAAGACCAGGTTTGCAATGAGAGGTGAGGCTCAAATGGCGGACATGAGGATAGGCCCAGGGAACAGTGAAAAGACTGAGATTCTCCTTAGCAGTCGAGGTGAGAAAGAATCTCCTTTTCAATATTCAGTCAGTGCTTTGGATGAATCTTTAATTTTATGGAAAACCTCAATTAGATTCAATTAGCAAGTTCCTAACCCTTTTATCCTATCGGTAAGATTTTTTCTTAAGCATGTGGATTTGTAATCCCAGGACTAAGAAAGGACTGCGTGCACACGTAATAGTTCTTCATCAATGAAATAGTCCAGTGCCTTCAAGAGTAACTCATTAGCATCCCTCTGAATTAAGCTGCTAGAATTCAAGGACATAAGTACTTTTTATTTTGGCAGTGTGTATCTTTTATATCTATATGCACATTTTTTAGGGAGTACTAGCTTTTTACTGTCTTAAATCACTCAGCACCATTTATATTTCTCTTAAAATCATTAAGGTTTATCGAACATGTACATGCAACAGACCTGACACCTATAATGCACAACTTCAACTTCAGGAACAGGACTCTATCATTTAAAAAAATACAGCCTATTTCTTCAGTTGCATTTGGTCCTAACTGCATCACATCAGGTATGATCTTTTTTGGTCTCTGACTCTAAGTATCTAGAAGGATCTCAGAATATTTCAAATTATTAAAAATACTCTTCACAGGGCCTGTCCAAGTACTTGTAAGACATCACTTTGCCCCGATATGCCCCCGTCTCATTTGAAGGACTACAAATGTGGGACTTCAAGGGAACAGCCTCAGTTACCAAAGGGAGAGTTCTGCCATGGTCACGGAGCTCTGTCTAGCTCAGTCTGTAAGTGTGCAGACTGACAAGGCTGGGCTGACTCGTTACTATCAGATACACACAAAGATGCAGGGAACCTGCCTAACAGAAAGGAACAGGGAAAGAACTTTTACTTGCAGATTCTGGGAAGGTGGATTACAAACAACAACAAATGTCTGTGTCTCTAGGAAACACTCCAGACTACTTGAAATATAAAACGGTAGTTGTTTTACTTTAAAAAATATCTCTGAAAGTTCACAACTTTTAAAAATCTACCTACTGCAGGACATTAACTAAAATCAAATCCCACAGAATTGGGATAGGAAAAAAGCCTTACCGATATAATGAAAATACTTTTTATGAAATAGCTTCAATTGTGAATTTGGCAGATGAAACATAACAAGCATTGAAAATACCTTCAGACAAGGAAATCTATTGATGTAAATTTAAATACATTTTCAAGCCCAACAACTGGGCAGAAAAACCCTAACAGTGTCACAAATGTGCATTCTGCTACTTGGATTATCGAAAGCCAAAGAGCTGTCATGTGTGTATCTCACTGAATAGCAGAAGCTTGTCAAAGAATACTCATAAGAAAGCTGCTTTTGAAACTCTGTATGGGTTATAAGAAATGTTTTTCAAAAATTACCTTTGGAAGACTAAAGCTCTATAGTTGATAAAACTATAAAATGTTTATGTATTTATATGGTGGTAGGAATTGCAAAAGGCTTTATAATATTAAATATGCTATGAAATTTAACATCTTCCTGGTCAGAGGAGTCCCATAAAATCTACCTTTTTTGTACAATTTGGCAATGCCAACAGCTACAGAAAATATATCAACCAACCAACCACTGTTTCATTAGAAACTGCACCAAATCCAATGTCAAAAACATTACTTTATTTTTCTAGGATGAAATGTCCTTTTACGTACAAAAAGAATTGTTTAGAATTTGCCACAATCTGTTAGAAACATAGCAATCTATTGCCTACAGGTAGGAAAGTTCTTGCCGCAACAAGTTTTAAATGATCAAGTCCATATATATCTGTATCTATGAATAAATAGCACAGAAATATTGTGATGTGATGAGATGCAAAATAACTTTATAATTCATTAAAATGTAGGGTTCTGGCATCAGCACAGTGCATACAATATGAAACATTTTTCAAAAGTAAAAGGACAAAATAACCTATATTTTGGTTACCTTCATGTTAATATTTTAAGCAAAAACGGTTTCCACACCGAGCATTTAGTCTCTTTAAGCTTGTAAGCAAAGGTTTAAGTGACATGTTTATGTACAAAAAGGAATGGGCTTCATCAGATAAAATTAACCCAGAATAACCTGTACACCTGAGTCTGTAATAAGAAAGAACTGGGAACTGTAGCAACATCTTTCTTTTAAGAAACTACGGTCTGGGAAAGGTTCTGCATAACAGGGTGATATTAAACATAAGGAAATTTTTAAAAAACATTAATTTCAGAATTTGCTGGGACAAAGCTAACATGAATTAGTGCAAAATCTAGTAAAATTTTTGCAAAGCTGCATAAACCAACCATGACAGATCTTCTAGAAGCTATTATTACAATGCCGTAATACAAGTGTAATGTCAGAACACTGAAAGGAAAAACATGCAAACATCCCTCCTCTGTTGTTTCCATTTCTCTCCCTACTGCTTGTGTGTGTGTGTGTTGGATGGGGGGGTGGGAAGAACCAAACAACAAAACTTAACCAGCAAAAATACAAAAAGATGATACCTAAAAAAATGCCCCCCATAAGATACAAGTAGCCGTCCGTGGCTGCCTGGCATCACACAGTGCACCGAAGGCAACGTGCGCCGTCACACCCCGTCACACCCCCTTTCCTGTCGGTGCGCTCGGTGATGCAGCCTGATGCAGCCGGACTTGACGACAGGGGGCTGGGAATGACAAAATACAGGGCCCCTGCTACCCTGGACACACCCAGGGGTAGTAGACGCGTCTGCCTTTCATGGACCTCGCAGCCCTCCCTTTCCCCTCAGAGGCTTATATATAGGTAATCATTAGCGCACATTCAAAGACACCATCTGTGGGAGAAAAGTGATCTCCATTTATTTTGTTTCATATACATCCATAGTTGAATTTTAATACAAAAAGAAAAAATTAGAATCTGACAAATGTTTACAAACAAGATACCTTCAAATAGATTTTACTCATTTTTAGCCTGGTGCAGAGTAAATGACAAATTATACTGTTATATTCAAGGCAACAGAGTCTGTAGTCCAGGACTGCCTAGCCCAACCTTTCTGCAAGCTTCATTTTTATCTACCATGAATGAGAAACTCATTGTTGATTCCCAGGTGTGTGTGTGCACATGTGTACATAGCAGCTCCTTTCATAGAAAGAAAAGACATCTAGAGGTCGTCGTGTACTTTTATCTATAGGAATCATGATAAGATACAGAATGGATTACATGTAACTGGGGCTGGATTTTATAAGAAAAAATAATTAGCTGACAAATGAGGGCAGCAATAAAAAAGCGTCTTTTTTGCAACAATAAATAAATACAGTCAAAAGTTTTCTGTGAGACTCTAAACCAGCTTCTTCACTGAAGAGCAGACGTGGCATTTCCATGGAGTTATACTTGACCCCATATTAATCTTTTTTTCTTGCTTTCTTTTTTCTTTTTTTTTCAATAAAATTTTCCCGCTTCTGCCACAATAGTAAAAACCATTTGATCTTGACAAGATAATGGTGTCGTTGACTTCACTTTTCCCTTGTCCGTTGGACAAAATTGGTCAAGAATAAAACTGGACTGCTATGACCAATAAAAACGAAGTTTAGGTCAAGTCTTGTCAGGATAACCTGACTAAAAACATCTGGCTCCTTAATTTAAAATAGTTCAGACAACCAGATTCTTGCTGTGTTTTATGCTTAGGTTAACACGCTGAACTTTAAGAAGCTGTAGACTGCAGTTTGTTGTTATGAGACCTACAGAATATAGAAAACAGGGAACAATTAAGCACCCTTCATTTTTGAAAACAATGATGCTTTATGTGGACGCCAAGGTCAATCTAGGGGAAGCA